GCTCTTTCCTTCCTGTACGCTATTCTTTTTATCTCTGAAGTTCAAAGTCTTCTCTGCTCTAGTTTTTCACTTTTTTGGATAACTTGGACTTCTTTTCCCTGTACCTGGTGGTATCAAAATGTTGGTATGTAGGGATATCTTATCTGTCCCTCCAGGAAAATGGATATCCCAAAAAAAGATTTTAAGTTGAATTTGTTTTATTCATGCTCTTCTCAAGGACCCGTTTTCTGGGGAAAAGAGTTGCCTGTACGACATTTGCCTTGATGACTCTCCATAAGTGTCGGAAGAAAGCCATACTGACCCCTTCTGTACCAGAAGGTAGGAGTTGGTCATATTATACCTACCTAATTAGCCAAACCCTGAGATCAACAGATCCTTCCTTCCTGATCCAGAGCAATAAAAGAGGCACTCAAATTCTTCTCGGAGATTAGTTTCTGGCTCTCTGCCTTGATCCAGTATTTTGAGAACAAACTTTCTTGCTGAAAATTTCCTGTCATGCGCAAGAGGTTTGCCTTGTTATCTCCCTCTTTAACTGCATCCCTACTGTTGCTGTGTTTTTTGTTTCCTTACAATCACTTCTTACTTTGACTTTTCCTCCAACATATCCAATTGCCCTCCTTGCTATGGCATCAGTCTTTTATGTTAATGTCATCTCTGCTAAACCTTGTTGTGTGCCATTTTTTCAGCTTCTTTTAGCAACTTAAATGTCCTCTTCGGATGTTTGAAAATTGGATCTCATTACCTGTGATAATTATTTAATCTGCTCTGTGTTATTTCTTTGTTTATTCTCTTTTTGCAACCAGATTTTGTCAGATCCGGAAAAGAAAATGGCAGCCCTTGCTCTAAGCTCTTGCTATGCACGAGGTCCAGGGAAGGATTGGACCATGTCGTAAACGGCCTTACATTGCATTTCTGCAAGTGGTTGTTTCCGCCGCTTGAACTCGTAATCTTTTGGTCACACAGTGGTAACACTACAGTCGCTCTTCGTCAAATCTGAGTGGAACTTTGATTCTTCTCCTCGTTCCACAATTAAGCATAATTAGTATGGTTTTTAGATGCTAACATGAGCAAAAAACCTTGTGCCTCAATCAGGATAACCTCCAGATGTCTTTATATTTAAACCTATCATACAGTTCACATCACATGATCTAAAGGGAAACTACATTGCGAGATGCTTGATAGCTACCATGTTTTTTTTTTTTAAAACATTAAGAGCTTCTTCCATCTTTCCTTCAACTTTTTCTTTCTCTTTTTGTTATCTCTCCCTTTCTTTTCCTTCTTTCTTTCCTTCTTCCAAAGCAGGGCGTCAAAGGGCAATAGAATCAGGTCATAAAATTATATAGGCAAAATGGCCTTTGGGCCACATAAACTTGCACCCAATTACCAACCCGGTAAACAAACTTACAACTTTCCCATTTGAACACATTGATAAACACCTTTGACCATTGACCATGCTTATGTGACAGTGATGTAATTGATATGGCAATAACGCGTGCCAATCACACAGAATAGGCGCGTGAACATAATATTTTATAAAACAAAAAACTTAAACCAAAAATAGAAATTAATAACAGAAAGGAAAAGAACAAAAAAAAAACCCTTCATCTCCCTCACGCCTCCCTTTTTTTCTTTCTCCACCTCACCCCCTCCCCTCTTTCCATCCTAGCACTATGGATGGCAATGGTGCGGGTGCGGGGCGGGGCGAGTTTTGTTTGATGCGGGGCGGGGCGGGTTTACTCTTATGCGGGTGCGGGGCGGGTTAAAATA